AGTACAATATGCATTGATGTATACACTTTTAAATGAAAATTTGAACTAATACACACATAGATTGGACCGGGTGGACCTGTGTATATTTCCAACCTTACATACTATAAGTACAGTAACTATATGTATATGTAACTATAAATTAAAAGGTGTACATCTGCAAACTAAAAGTCATTGATGCAATTAAATATTTTAAAGAAAATGATGTGCATGTCTTTATTTAACAAAAGAAGCCATGTGTTTGGGATTTATTTGAAGTACACTTTATTTGTGCAGTGAATTAGCCTTATGGAAGGTTATAGGTTAAGATCTACTGGGGAAAGTAACTATGAGCAGTTGTTTAAAACACCAAGAATAAAGCTTCACCTCACTATTAATCTACATGTTTTTCAGATGGGCCATCTGCTGAATTGTGTTGTTCAGTTAGCTTATAATAGTGCCCATGTCGTTTGATTCCACTCCACAGCAGAGGACAAGTAGCTGAATAAAGTACCATAACCTAGATTCTCCTCATCTTTCAGCATTTATACCTTGAGGATAATGGGGATGTAAAAAACATTCATGTTTTGTGTTATTCAGTATGTTGCTTCTAATTAACAGGTCCACCCCAATGTTTGTTACCACTTTGTTCACTAAACACTTTTATTCTTTCAGTAAAAATGATCTGATTTGCTTTGTAAAAATACAATAATATACAGTGCTTCTTTGTGCTTTAAATGCATAATAAAATAGGAACATTTTTTGCTTAATTAAACCTAAATATGGGTGAGAAAATTGGGCATATTGCAAAATCTTCCTAAGATATAGAATACTTTAGAAACCTACCATAACTAAAATGTGTTGCCTTTAATCTATTCATTTTGAAGGGAATGTATAATTGGCTGTTATTCAAAAATTATCATTTTCAAAGCTTCCTGATGTTTATGAACAACTGTTTTTAACCCTTACTTCTTTCAATGTGTGGTAAACACATTCGGTTATAAGGTTATCTGAAAACTGTTTCTTCTGCCCTCCTTTTCTTTGCCATTTCATACATCGGAACTTCACTCTCTCAGTCAAAATTAACTATTTTTAATCTTTATGTTGCTAGCATATGTAAATAGAGAGGAAAGTATATTATGTTTACTTGTTTTAGACTTTTTTATTTTTACATTTCTTAAGTTACTTCCTGGTTTCCATGCCTAGGCAAATTATGTCATACATCCCAGCAGTCTTCAGGATGAGAGGAGGGTTTTCTCAGCTAAGCACACCCTCCCTGCCTGCATGCCTGAGATAGGGGCAGATAGATTCCAGGAAGTAAATGCTGCATGAATCATCTGCCCTTAGTCAAGATGGCCATGGCCAGAAATGCTAGGGGATGTTTATTTATTTCAGGTACTTATGTAGCGCTGTCAGTTTACGCAGCGCTTTACATACATATATATATATATATATATATATATTGTGCATTCACATCAGTCCCTAACCCTCAAGGGTTACAGTCTAAGGTCCCTAACTTACATTCATACATACACATACTAGGACCAATTTAGACAGGATCCAATTAACCTACCAGCATGTCTTTGGAGTGTAGAAGGAAACTGGAGTACCCGGAGGAAACCCACGCAGGCACTGGGAGAACATGCAAACTCCAGGCAGGTGGCGCTGTGGTTGGGAATCAAACCAACGACCCTAGTACTCCCAGGTGGAAGTGCTAACCATTGAGCCACTGTGCTGCCCCTTTTTCAAAGTGATTTCCCAGCAAAGTCAAACACAGAGACAAGGATGGATGGGGGAGTGCTTTGAATGCTAAAAATTAATTAAATAGCATTTTTGGTTTGTGGTGCTCAGATACTGTGTAGTTGTGCTGAATTTTCACATCTCTTTTACCCTTATGTGTATATTTACTTTACGCTATTTCTGTCTGGGCTTTATCTTCCTAGGTTGTGTTTCATCCTACCTTTTTATTTTCCCCATGTACAACTTGTGTATTCTCTGCTTCTTGTTCTCTATGTTTTTTTTCTTCCCCTGTGACCTCTTCCTTAGCTTTGTCCCACTGTCCTGCCTCATTCTGCCTCCAGAGCTTGCTCTCCATCTCTCCCTTGGTTTTTACTCACTCAACCCTCGTTTTCCTTTTTCTTTTCATTTAGCAAAATCAGTGTTTGCAAACACTTAAAGGCATACTTCACCTTTATAAAAATAACTGCTTATGCAGATAAGGGGTGTCTGTAGATAAAAACAAACTGTGCAGCATTGAATAAAGTTGAATAATGCCCTTTCTTTAGATGTAGGCCATTTACGTACCTCATGAAGCCCGACTTACAAATTCCTAGAGATTGCATCTCCCCACCCTGCTTTGTTGCCAGGATATTGCTAAGATGCACTTTCTGTGATTCAAACCTTTTCACATTCATTTTCTCTCCCCCGATGCAGTAACTCTAAGCTCAGCATTGAGAGCTCACTCTTGTGATGAAGATGTGAAAAGTAACAGTGAACATGTTTCGCAACATCCTAGCAACAATGCAGGATAGGGAGATTTTAAAAACAAACAAAAATTCCCAGCCCACTTCCCAGCAAGCCTGCAACATAACCAAATGGATCCAGGCTAACAGTTCATGTTAAAAACAAGGAGTTTAGTCACACACGTTTGCAAATATATGTGTTAGCCACAGTGGCCACATCAAGGCACCCCAGTGTATTTTGATCCTAACTCTATAATTTGACAGTCCCCCAAGTTGGAGCACATATAGCAGTGGACAGATGAAGGGCAGGTGTGTCTGGAAGAAGCCCACTCCTTAAAGGTACAGGGATGCACTGTACACCCAGTAAGAGGACAATGGCAGTCCCTTAAGGAGGAGTAGGTTCCCTCCAAGCATACGTGCCTTTAATCTATCAACTGCTATATGTGCTCCAATTCTGGGGAATCTCAATTTATAGAGTTAAGACTGCAGTACACTGGGGTGCCTTGACATGGTAACTGTAGCTTACACATATACCGTATTTTCTGGCGTATAAGACGACTTTTTGACTCTTGAAAATCTTATGAAAAGTTGGGGGTCGTCTTATACGCTGGTATACGTCAGGGCGGCACTTTTTAGGGGGGCGGCGCGGTGCCGCCGCCGTCCCACCCTTCCGACGGAAGGGACACTAAGTACAGGGGTGGGCAGAGGGCTGCTGTACCTTACCTGGCTCCCACGACGATCCATCCAGGAAGCGCTGCTCCTTCAGTCACTGCGGCCACTCCCTCACTCCTGCCACTTGGCTCCGCCTCCTCACCGGTGATTGGCCACCAGAACTGTAGCTCAGGAAAGGCACACAGGCGGCAAATCACGGGCGAGGAGGCGGAGCCGAGCTGACTTGCGAAAATCGAGTGAGGGAGCAGCCGGTAAGTGTGCAGTGCAGAGGTGCTGCTGCAACCACATATGCTGGCTGCAGCAGCACCATACTGGACAAGGGTCAGCAAGTGTCATTGGTGTCAGTGGGAGGAATAGTGTCCCATCATTGGTGTCACTGACACCAATGATGGGGCACTATTCCTCCCACTAACACCAATGATGGGGCACTATTCCTCCCACTGACACCAACGATGGGGCACTATTCCTCCCACTGACACCAACGATGGGGCACTATTCCTCCCACTGACACCAACGATGGGGCACTATTCCTCCCACTCACACCAACGATGGGGCACTATTCCTCCCCCCACTGACACCAACGATGTGGCACTATTCCTCTCCCCACTGACGGGGTACTATTCCTCCCACTGACACCAATGTTGGGACACTATTCCTCCCACTTACACCAATGATGGGGCACTATTCCTCCCACTGACACCAATGATGGGGTGCTATTCCTCCCACTGACACCAATGGTGGGGCGCTATTCCTCCCACTGACACCAATGATGGGGGCGCTATTCCTCCCACTGACACCAATGATGGAGCGCTATTCCTCCCACTGACACCAATGATGGGGCGCTATTCCTCCCACTGACACCAATGATGGGGCGCTATTCCTCCCACTGACACCAATGATGGGGCACGATTCTTCCCACTGACACCAATAATGGGGGTGCTATTCCTCCCACTGACACCAATGATGGGGTGCTATTCCTCCCACTGACACCAATGATGGGACACGATTCTTCCCACTGACACCAATAATGGGGTGCTATTCCTCCCACTGACACCAATGATGGGGCGCTATTCCACCCACTGACACCAATGATGGGGCGCTATTCCTCCCCCTGACACCAATGATGGGGTGCTATTCCTCCCACTGACACCAATGATGGGGCGCTATTCCTCCCACTGACACCAATGATGGGGCGCTATTCCTCCCACTGACACCAATGATGGGGCACGATTCTTCCCACTGACACCAATAATGGGGGTGCTATTCCTCCCACTGAGACCAATGATGGGGTGCTATTCCTCCCACTGACACCAATGATGGGGCACGATTCTTCCCACTGACACCAATGATGGGGTGCTATTCCTCCCACTGACACCAATGATGGGGCACGATTTGTTGCTCTGACACCAATGATGGGGCACGATTCCTCCCACTGACACCAATGATGGGATGCTATTCCTCCCACTGACACCAATGATGGGGCACGATTCTTCGCTCTGACACCAATGATGTGGCACGATTCCTCGCTCTAACACCAATGATGGGGCACTATTCCTCCCACTGACACTAATGATGGGACACTACCAGAGGCAGGACTATCTGGATTAGTTATACACAAGGGTGCACTGCGGCTCGTTGATACACCATGCATTAAATGTTTATATGTACAATAAAAAAATTATATAAATACAAATTTAATTGAACATCAGTTTATAAAGTGTTAACTGTACAAAAAAGTTAAACAAAATTGATCAAGAAGCAAACCTGATTATTTTTATTTTTTGGATAGAGTATATATTGATTAGTTAGACCATGATGTTTTTGCCTGTATCTAAAATGCTGCGGGTTTGTTTCAGAGCATTTGTCTGTAACTATTTCTTTACTTTTCAGGTGACTGATATAGCAGATGCAATGATACTAAAACAATTATTTGAAAACCTGTTTCAAAATGGAGTTGTTGTTGTAGCGACATCTAACAGACCACCTGAAGGTAAAAGTATTTTCTAAGATAAAAATCTTTTAAAATCTATATATAAACTGCTCGGCGTTGAAGTGTTCATTCATATTGTGCTACCCTATGTGTAGCTAGTGCTGTATTTTGATATCGTCTATCTGAAAGGGATTTTATTTTTTCCATTTTCTTGCCCTTTTTGCCAGTTTTGTCTTCCTCTGTACCCAGGATTTAATATATGATTTACATATCAAAAGTACTACACGCATTACCTCTATGTATATCACATCCCATCAGAGTAGGGGATTAAAGCGGAGTTCCACTCACCCTGTCAAAAAATAAGTCAGCAGTTACAAAAACTGTAGCTGCTGACTTTTTAAAAAAACAGCACTTGCCTGTCCCTTGGTGTGTCCCCCGCAGCCCGTTTCACAGGCCGTCCTGTATTCCAGGAGGCCTGAATTTTCAGTGCGGGCACCTGGCTGTGACGGCCTACGGGTGACCCACTGTCATGTGTCCCAAAAGACTACAGGGAGGGAGGACACCTTCCGCTTCCGGTCGCCTAGATGATCGGACCGGAAGTGAGAGTGGGTACCTGTCAAATTCAGGTGCCGATCCTTAATGGGGATCGGGGGAGCAGTCCTTAAAGCGGAACTTCCACTTATTTTGCGTTAAATAAATTTAAGAATTAGATGAGATATGGTTAGAATAACTCATTAGAAGAGATTCAATTGATCATTTTTCTCCTGGAGAGAAATTTGTTTTTTTGAGGGGAGGTAGGAAGAGAATAGGAGCCTGATAAGGACAGACAGTACTGTACATAAATATATGAGTAGAAATGGAAACATGTAGGTAATTGTGATGCATAGCATTTTTGAAACAATTGAAAATTTTTAGCCATGAAGGTCACAAAATAATATACACTAAACACAATTCTGTACTACACAATTTGAATATGAAATAATTGTTTAGCTCCTACTCTAATAGGATGTGACATGCATAGAGGTAATTCATGTTGTACCTTTGATGCAGAAGTAATTTATTTTGATATAGCTCAACATTTTGTGGAAACATTTGGAAAGGGAGCCTAACGGTTATTCAATCTTACACTAACATTCCAGTTTTAGGTGGACACTGGCTGGTAGTTAAATCAACATTTGCAGAGTAGCAGGTTCACCTTAATTTTCACACCCTTTCCTCTCTCCTTAGTCTTCTACTGTTCTGTTTACATCCTACTTTGGTTCTTCTTTGTGTGTTCACACCAGTGACTGCATAACAAATAGCAAAAATAACAGTTCAGGAACTTAGTCAAAACAGAAGCCAGGGTTTGGATGCCAGAGTGGGTAATCATACGAGCTGGGGTCAGGAAACCAGAAGTCCCCGTAGCCAGAAGCAAAAATTAAGAACAGGAATCGGGGAAGTCAGCCAGACTGAGATGTACACAGGAACACACTGGAGATCATACACTACAAAAAGGCAAGGCTAAAATGAGCCTAAAAATAGCAAAAAGGGCTGGCTGTAGGTACTGTGGAGACAACGAGTGGCTGGTAATTAACCGACAGCTGAGCAGCTTCTGAGCAGTGAAAGAAAAGAGATTATTATTACATTACATTGAGTTTATATAGCGCCAAAGGGTTTGCTCAGCGCTGTACAATAGAGGGGGGGACAATACATGAGACATTACAGCAGCTACGAACAGCACACGAGGGGTAAGAGGGCCCTACTCTTTCGAGCTTACAATCTGGGAGGGAGGGGGTAGTGGTACAGGAGGAAGTGGCTGTGGGGGATGGAGTGGTAGGAGGAATGAAGGAGAGCAGCAGTTAGGTGAGGGTGGGGTAGGCTTCCCTGAAGAGGTGGGTTTTCAGGGAGCGCCTGAAGGTGAGGAGGGAAGGTGACAGTCTGATGGATTGGGGTAGTGAGTTCCAGAGGATGGGGGAGGACCTGGAGAAGTCTTGCAGACGTGCGTGTGAGGAGGAGACCAGGGAGCAAGATAGAAGGAGGTCCTGTGAAGAGCGAAGGGTACGGGTAGGGTGGTACTTGGGAATCAGGTCGGTGAGGTAGTTAGGGGCAGTGTTGTGAATGGCTTTGTAGGTCAGAGTGAGTAGTTTGAATTTGATGCGTTGGGCGATAGGGAGCCAGTGGAGGGAGAGGCAGAGGGGGGTGGCAGAGGTGGAGCGGCTGGTGAGGTGGATGAGTCTGGCAGCTGAGTTCAGGATGGTCTGAAGCGGGGAGAGTTTGCACTGGGGTAGGCCGGTGAGGAGGGAGTTGCAGTAGTCAAGCGTGAGATAATCAGGGAGTGCACAAGTAGTTTAGCGGTGTCTGGGGTAAGGAAGGAGCGTATTTTGGCGATATTGCGGAGGTGGAGCCTGCATGTGTTTGTCAGTGATTTGACATGAGGTTGGAAGGAGAGGTTAGAGTCCAGAATGACCCCAAGGACTTTGGCTTGCGGGGCGGGATTGATGGTGGTGATGTTAGTAGTGATGGATAGGATGGGGGGGGGGCGCGGGCAGGAGGGAAGACGAGAAGCTCGGTTTTGGAGAGGTTGAGTTTGAGGAAATGGAGCGACATCCAGTCAGAGATGTCGTTTAGGAGGTGAGTGATGCGGGCGGAGAAAGTGGAGGTGAGGTGAGGGGTGGAGAGGTAAATTTGAGTGTCATCAGCATAGAGATGGTAGTTGAAGCCGTGGGAGTGTATGAGTTTGCCAAGGGAGGAGGTGTAGATGGAAAGAGAAGGGGTCCAAGGACAGAGCCCTGGGGGACCCCAACAGAGAGGGGGAGGGAAGGGGAGGTGGCACCATTGTAGGAAACGCTGAAGGAGCGTCGGGATAGGTAAGAGGAGAACCAGGAGAGAGCGGTGTCTCTGACGCCAAGGGAGAATAGTTTATTAAGGAGGAGGGGGTGGTCAACTGTGTCGAAGGCCGCGGAGAGGTCCAGGAGGAGGAGGACAGAGTAGTCGCCTTTGGCTTTGGCGGTAAGTAGGTCGTTGGTGATTTTGAGGAGGGCGGTTTTCGGTGGAGTGTAGGGGACGGAAGCCGGACTGTAGTGGATCAAGGAGGTTGTTGTCAGTTAGGTGGGCGCTTAGGCGGTTGTAGACTAAGCGCTCCAGGAGTTTGGAAGTGAGTGGCAGCAGGGAGATGGGTCTGAGGTTGTTTGGGTCAGAGGGGTCCAGGGAGGGCTTTTTGAGTATGGGGGGTGATGCTCGGTAAGTAGCAGGAGCCCAGCCCTGACAGGTTCACCTTCCAACATTACAATGACCCAAGGCACACTGCAAAAATGACCACACAGTGGTTGAAGGAGAAAAAGGTGAATGTCCTTGCATGGCCTAGTCAGAGCCCAGAATTAAACCCCATTGAAAATCTGTGGAATGACTTGAAGACTGCAGTCCACAAATGGTCAACATCAAATTTAACTGAACTTCTGCAAAGAGGAGTGGGCAAATATTGCCAAGTCTAGATGTGCAAAGTTAGTAGAGACATCCTAACAAACTAAAGGCTGTAATTAAAGCAAAGATGGTTCAACAAAATACTGACACAAGGGGTGATCCTTTTTCAACTCAGTGATTCTGTTTTTGATCTTTTTTTATCTTTTTTTTTTTTTTTTGAGATGTTGGTGCTCTCTATTTCACTTGGATGTTATAAGTTGCACTGAGTAAATACAGCTGGATAAAACAAAAACTGTGTCTGTCTTAATTTCAAGCTGCAAAGCAACAAAATGTCGTTATTTTAAGGAGAGAGGGGTACTTCTTTTCTAAACTCATTCTATGTGCGGTTTGCTTGCACTGTATTGACAAAGCACAGCTTTAAAATGTATTTCCACTTTTGCATCTAAATTTGGAAAAACCCCACTCTATGTTCGTCATGTGTTCCCATTGACATGACACACTTACTTTTCTAGTTGTTTGTTTCGAGCAGGTTTATACATAGATCTGCAAGCTATTCTGAACAATTATAAACTGCAATTAGAGGGACAAACTGAGGGAAAGTGCATTATCACACAACATACCACTAAACCTATGAGATCCTCAAATCTTTAAATAATTTTTTTGGCCATCTTGGCTCAAACAATTTATTTGCAAGGCAGAACAGTCTGGCTGCTGGGATACTGTAAAAGGCTGTAGTATAGTTTGCTACATACTGCAAGTGCTGTTTTCTTTCTACACAGTGGTGCTGACAGAAACAGAGTCAGTTGTACAGGATCTCCGCCATTCAGGAACACCCTTGTATTTTTTGAGTACAAGGCATTTACTGATTGGCTGAAGTGGAGATCATGACATCATCTGCCTGTCTGTCTTCCTTGGGCTAATCAGAGAATGCCTTGTATTCATTAAAAGAAATGCAAGGCTGTTCCGGAATGTCAGAGTTACCAACGAGCAATTTTATTTCTTTCTGGCAGCAGAGGGGAAGTCGTACCTGTGCAGAAAGACTACAGCATTTATTGTATGTCTAACCAAAAATGCTACTGGTAGTTCCTAAAGTACAAGTGCCTGTGAATAAACAGGAAAGTATATGAAAAAAGATAAAAATTAACTATTTAAAGTAATGATTTAAAGAACGTAAAAATATTATTAGCCCACTGCAGCTGAATGGAGTGGTAGGGGAGAGAAAGACAAGTGAATATATGCTGCTGGAAAGGTGAGCATTATGGCAAATCTGTGTTGCTTGCTGTGCATTGGCAAAGCACAGATTAGCTTTAAGGCCGTGTTGCTAACAAAAAAATTATAGGTCTGAACTGCTGGCAGTTGTCATAACCTTAATTTTTAAATGGCCAACACGTAACTCCTGTGCACCTTTTCTTCTTAGAAAAAAGGAAATAGGCATGGTCCTCAAGCTAACAAGTTGGAAAATCTCTTTGATAATGGATTCTTCCAACAGTTGTCATCCCCTTGTCATTGCAGTGGATGCTTGAATCAGACACAACACTTACACATAGTGGGCTATTTCTAGGGTTTCTTTCATTTTATGGAGCACAAAGAAATGGGGTTGATACTCGATCTGCTCTAGAAGGTAGAGTGAGACTCATGGGGCAAGAAGAGGTAGAATTGGGAACTCTCAGCACTAAAGACCCTATAATATATCAAAGTTCACAAAGAAGTATAACCTACCAGAAGATCTGCCCATTGCTAAAATGAGTCTTGGTAGACTTACTATTAGCCCAGTTTTTGTCTGCAATAAGAAAGAATTTCTGGCGCACAGAGGTGAAGTTATTCCAAAATAATAGTAAGGATAATAAACAGAATGTCAGATGCTCACAAGGAACATGACGTACGACTCCATGCTGAGACAGACACTGGAAATTAACACTGTTAGAATAAATCATATAATGTCCATAGACATAACCAAGTATTTGAAAAGTCTCCTGTAGAAGGAGCTAGAGGCTCCGAGCGCATAGCCTGTCTCTTTTGCCTGTGTTCCTGGTATCCTCCACTTCTGGCCCTATACCTCTTCCAGTGATGTCATATCCACCAGTGCTTTCCACACTGGTCAGCGCAGACTCTCCCTGGTCCAGATGCTGTAGGACCGGCTCTGCTGCACCCCACAACATCAGGGAGGTCTCCTTAACAACACATATGGCTCCATACAGTCCCAGCTTATATCTATGGCATGACCAGCAGTACCTGCAGGACAGAGAGGAGTGGCCACATCCCCCTACACAGAAGAGCTTGTTAATTTATTGCCTCTTGTGAGTATTTTTAATCCTATATTATTAAGTACAGCATTTACTACTGCACTTAGACTGGTGCCTCCTGTTCTTTTCTTTCCAGTTTTTGTCTGCTAAGCTGCGGTTTTGGTAAGCTGCATCTTTGGTGCGCTTTTAGAAAACATTCCAAAACTGTACAACCTAATAGAAAGTCTATGGGACCATTGCTAAAACTGCAGGTAAAATGTGTGAAAACCACAGATACAGTTGTGGCCAAAATTATTCAACCCCCACTGAAATTGAGTGTTTTGGCCAGTTTGACATTGCTTTTGATCATTCAGTCATCATCTTGCTTACATTTACATTAAAGAGGCACTTGTAGGTCAGGACAAATATAACATAAACAGTTATAATGAAATAACCACAAATGTCTTTTCTGTGCTCACAGCATTATCATTTTATTCAACCCCCCAAGTGACATTCATCTTAGTACTTAGTACAGCATCCTTTTACAGTTTACGTAACAGCTTTTAAAACGTGAAGCATAGCTTGACACAAGTGTCTTGCAGCGATCTACTACGGGTATCTTCGCCCATTCTTCATGGGCAAAGGCCTCCAGTTCAGTCACATTCTTAGGCTTGCGCACTGCAACTGCTTTCTTTAAGTCCCACCAGAGGTTCTCAATCGGATTTAAGTCTGGTGACTGCGATGGCCACTCCAAAATGTTCCAGCCTTTCCTCTGCAACCATGCTCTAGTGGACTTGGAGGTATGCTTGGGATCATTGTCCTGTTGAAAGGTGTCCAACTCTCCCAAGCCCAGGTGTGTGACGGACTGCATCACAATATCTCCTGGGGGGATACTGAAGAGAATTCATGGTACCTTGCACACGCTGAAAGCTTCCCTGTACCTGCAGAAGCAAAACAGCCCCAAAGCATGATTGACCCTCCACCATGCTTCCACAGTAGGCAAGGTGTTCTTTTCATCATAGGCCTTGTTCTTCCTCCTCCAAACATAGCGTTGATCCATGGGCCCAAACAGTTTCTAATTTTGTTTTCATCAGTCCACAGAACACTATCCCACAACTTTTGTGGTTTGTCCACATGGCTTTTTGGCATACTGCAGTCGACTCTTCTTATTCTTTGGAGACAGCAAGGGGGTACGCCTGGGAGTTCTGGCACGGAGGCCTTCATTACGCAGTGTGCGTCTTATTGTCTGGGCTGAAACTTCTGTACCCACATCTGACAAATCTTTTCTCAGTTCCTCAGCAGTCACACGGGGACTTCTCTCCACTCTACGCTTCAGGTAGCGCACAGCAGTCGAAGTCAGCATCTTCTTTCTGCCACGCACCAGGTAGCGTTTCACATGTTAAACAGTGCCCTTTGCCTTGAATTTGCGAATGGATGATGCTTCCTAAGGTGTCTCTTGGGTATGTTTAAACATCTTTTGCAATCTTTCTTATAGCCATTGCCCTTCCTGTGAAGAGAAATCACCTCTTCTCTTGTCTTCCTGGACCATTCTCTTGCCTTCACCATGTTTGTAACCACACCAGTAAATGTCTAGAAGGAGCTGAGTATCACAGTCATTTTAAAGCTGCCTAATTGGTGCTTATTATGCTTGATTGCTGCGCGGTGACATCCACAGGTTGTTTTCAATACTGATGGAAAGCACCTGTATGAACCTCTGTTCTTCAGAGTGGTAGTCTTTAAGGGGTTTGAAAATTGTGGCAATGAAGAAACCACATAAGAACCATTTACTACTGTATTACATAAACAATTGATGTCATTTTAGTTGCATTTGGGTAGTTACAACGTCCTTGTTAGGATTTGATTCTGAATACAATTCCAAATGTACACTATAGTCCCTAAACCCCTTTACAGCATTGGGGGTTGAATAATTTTGGCCACAACTGTACACCTGCTTTGTGGCCAATATGCAGTGCAGCACTGTGATACCAGCCCTAAAGTGAAACCTGAGATGTCTGTAACATGGAACATGATTTGGCAATGCTGGTGGAATTAGTCAAATTAGTTGAAACTGAAGTTCAGTTCAGTGTTTCTAAATGTAAAATAATGGACCTAGGGAAAAATAATCTCTTTGATAAAGTACAGTGTTGTTGGCAAGAGCTACAAAGGAAAAATATTAAGGGTAGTTATTTCAGATGATTGCAAAATTAGCAAATAGTGTGGCCAAGAATTGGGAAAAGTGAAAGAATTCTAGGATGCATCACTAGGATTCATAACAGCAAAGAAAAGAGGTCCTGATTCCCCTATACAGATCTTTAGTTTCAGACCTCATTTAGAATACTACGTCCAGTTCTAGCGACCTCACTTACAAAAAGGTATTGTTATGATAAAAAAAAAAAACAGAGATGGACAACAAAGAAGGTGAAAGGTTTGGGGGATAACAAAAATCAAAAGATACTTCAGGTACTTAATATGTACAGTCTTTAGAAAAGAAGGGAAATGGCAGATATGATTGAAAAACCTTTAAATGCATTAAGAATATGATAAGGTTCAGGAGGGCAGTATTTTTTTCAATATTAACCACTAGCCCAGTGGTGGGCAACCTTTTTTTTCAAATACTGAGCCAAATCTCGCCAAAACCCATGATTGATTGTATTTATTTTGAGAGCCACATTTTTAAAACTGAAAATACATCTCCCATATAGTAATTCATCCCCCATAGTAATTCATCCCCCATATAGTAATTCATCCCCCCATAGTGTAATTCATCCCCCATAGTGTAATTCATCCCCCCATAGTAATTCATTCCCCATAGTAATTCATCCCCCATATAGTAATTCATCATCCCCCATAGTAATTCATCCCCCATAGTAATTCATCCCCCATATAGTAATTCATCCCCCATAGCAATTCATCCCCCGTATAGTATTTCATCCTCGTATAGTATTTTCATCCCCCGTATAGTATTTCATCCCCCCGTATAGTATTTCATCCCCCATATAGTATTTCATCCCTCATATAGTATTTCATCCCCCATATAGTAATTCATCCCTCATATAGTATATTTCATCCCTCATATAGTATTTCATCCCCCCATATAGTATTTCATCCCTCATATAGTATTTCATCCCCCCCATATAGTATTTCATCCCTCATATAGTATTTCATCCCCCCCATATAGTATTTCATCCCTCATATAGTAATTCATCCCTCATATAGTATTTCATCCCCCCATATAGTATTTCATCCCTCATATAGTAATTCATCCCTCATATAGTATTTCATCCCCCCATATAGTATTTCATCCCCCCCCATATAGTATTTCATCCCCCCATATAGTATTTCATCCTCCATATAGTAATTCATCCCTCATATAGTATTTCATCCCCCCATATAGTAATTTCATCCCCCCATATAGTATTTCATCCCCCCCATATAGTATTTCATCCCTCATATAGTAATTCATCCCTCATATAGTATTTTCATCCCTCATATAGTATTTCATCCCTCATATAGTATTTCATCCCCCATATAGTATTTCATCCCTCATATAGTAATTCATCCCTCATATAGTATTTCATCCCCACAGTACTATTCCCCCCCCCCCCTTCTAGTAAGCCAAGTCCCCCGTGTCAATTCACTTACCTTTTGCGTTCCTCTCGCTGTCTTCCCGCGCCGTTCGGGTCTTCAGGGCGGACTGTGAGAGGAGCCTAGCTCCCCTCCCCCTCACGTTCGGACACGCTGCCCCGCCTACACACATCCTGACAGCCACATCTGCAGGCCGGATTAAAAGGTCCGCGCGGACTTTTGGGCTGCCAACCGAGAGGAGGCAGGGGAGCGGCCGACCGAGAGGAGGGAGGGGAGCAGGCGCAAGAGCCGCATTAGACTGGGTAAAGAGCCGCATGTGGCTCGCGAGCCGCGGCTTGCCGACCACTGCACTAGCCTACAGGGCACTTATACCCCCTTCCTGCCCAGGCCAATTGCGCGGGTCATGCAACACTGTACCCATATGAAATTTTTATTATTTTTTTGTGACAGATAGAGCTTTATTTTGGTGGTATTTAATCACCTCTGTGTTTTTAATTTTTTCTTAAACAAACCAAAAACCACTGAAAATTTTGAAAAAAAATTTTTTTTCTTAGTTTTTGTTATAAAATTTTGTAAATAAGTGATTTTTATCCTTCACTGATGTGCGCTAATGAGGCTGCACTGATGGGCACTGATAGGCTGCACTGATGGACACTGATAGGTGGCACTGATGGGCACTGATGAGGAGGCACTGGTAGGTGGCACTGATGGGCATTGACAGGCATCACTGATGGGCACTGAAAGGCAGCACTTATATATGGCACTGATAGGCGGCACTGATTGGCACTGATAGGCGGCACTGACTAGCACTGATAGGCGGCACTGACTGGCACTGTTAGGTGGCACTGACTGGCAGCACTGATGCACACTGATGCACACTGGTGGCGGCACTGATATGCGGCACTGACTGGCACTGATAGGTGGCACTGATTGGCAGCACTGCTAGGTGGCACTGACTGGCATTGATAGGTGGCACTGACTGGCACTGATGGGTGACACTGAAAGGCAGCTCAGATGGGCACTGATATGTGGCATTGATGTGGCACTGGGCACTGAGATGTGGCACTGATGTGGCACTGGCAGGTGGCATGGATGAGCACAGAACTGGCACTGATGGACACTGACAGGTGGCGCTGCTGGGGCTACACAGATCATTAGGGCACATTGATCAACAGTGCTCTGATGATCTGTGTAGATGTCCCCTCCGAGGAATGCCGATTACCGGCTCTCCTCTCATCACGAGCTGTCAGCGCGACAGCTCATGAGGAGAGAAATGCCGATAACCGACATTTCCCTGTTTTACATGTGATCAGCTGTGATTGGACACAGCTGATCACATGACCGAGCCGACATCTTCGGCTCTTTCCGTAGATCGGTGATCCGCTGTCTCCAAGGGACACAGCGCACTGCCAATTGCCACGCTGCGCGCTCCCGGAGCCACACATGCACGGTGAGAATGGGAGGACGTCATATGACGTCCTCCCAGAACGAGAGAACCGCCCTGCGTCCGTCATATTACTATATGGCGGGCGGGAGGTGGTTAAGCTAACACACACACGGGGACATGACTTCAAACTAGCAGGAGGTAAGTTTAAATCTAATCTTAGAGTATTATTTTACCGAAAGAGTAGTTGAAACTGGGAACAGAGGTAGTGAGGGAGTCAACAGTAAGTGGATTCAAACATGCTTAATATAAACATTCTTCTATGATTATAATATAAAACAGCTCTTCTATGATTCTAATCTAAATATTGTCCATACCAGCCAAAGTAGCTTTTATGTAACCTTTTCTGAATGGCCGACTTAAGATTTGTCGGTCTGTCGCTATATTTTTAGACTCATCTTTATCTTTATTCAAAAAAAATTCTCTAATGGAAAAGCTGCCCTTCTATAAACCATTTTTCTTTAATTTGGAAGTTTTTATTAAAACATAAGCATTTATTCAAGGTCCTTGGTTCTCAGAAAATCTCAGTATTCTGAGATTCAAACACTCTGTCTCCGCTGACAGTGTTTATCTGCTACAGTTTAGAAAGCATAGTCAGAAGAGAGCAAGTTGCCATGTGGTGAACCCTGATCGCTCATAGTGTTCATTAAACAATAGGATTTGCAATGGCTCTGTATGAAAACAGCAAAGTTTTAAGTTTTACAAGTTATTCCCATTCTCAAAGAAAGGCTTTAAGAACCTTACAGATAACATTTTTGATAGTGAGAGTTTGGAGAAGAATGGTGTACTTCATTACCTTGCTAATTATCATCATATTTAAATAGGAGTAAAAAAAAATACCCTCTTCAGTGTAATCATTACAATCTTTTTTTTCTTAAGTGTTGTAACAGCTATGCCCTCTCATACATGAATATTTCCTGAAATTTTCTTTTTTCTTTAAAAAAAAAAAAAAAAAAGTAACCCATTGAATGCATCAGATTAGGGACACATTAAACAGTTCTGCATTCAGTCTTTATCTTGAAAGCAAAAAGTATTGTATAGGATGCGTTTTTCATTTGTAAATTCTTTACTCATTAAAGATATTAATATAGCTGTACCACCATCCCCTCCCTCCTAGATTGTAAGCTCGAAAGAGCAGGGTCCTCGATCCCCTCATGTTTTGCATTGTATTGGTATTGTTCCATCACATGTTCTGTCCCCCTTTGTAATGTACAGCGCTGAGCAAACTATTGGCGCTTTATAAATACTGTATAATAATAATATAGCTTATTGTCAGGCTTACTTTTTTTAACCTACTTTACATTATCTACTTTTTTTCATGTTTGTGTGCAAATATTTTACAGGAACAACATTTTCAGTAAACACACATTTTGAGTTGGGCATGCACATGGGCATGTGATGCTGTACATAAATTGCAGGCATATTTCTGCATTCCAGAGACACAGCTGAAACCAACAGCTGACCATAGCAATGAATGGCTGTTCACTAGCTGTATGTGCTTAAACGTTCCACTTGCATAAACATGTGCACAGGTGTAAATCGCTGGATGTGCACAAGGCGCTTCAAGGGATTTAGGCCCGTGCATGTGTTTACACAGTCACTGTGTCAGGAAAGGTGTAATGTACTGTAAAGGTGCATAGGGATATGTACAAGTGCGGAATTCCTGTGAGCTGTGCGCTTGCATGCCTGCCACTAAGACAGACTCCAGGTGGGCTATTTAACCAGCACTGATGCACTAGAATCTTGCTGTGTGGTCTACAGTGTTTCCTGCACATCTGCTACCTGTCCCTGTATCTGATCTTCTGGTGTCGACCTGATCTGCCTTGGCCACGCTTGAGCTCTGCCTGTACTGTCGCATGGTTTGTCTCTGGAGTATGAATCTGCCTGGTCCCTCTGCCAAACCTGGTTCATCGATACTGACTCTGGCCTGTACTCTGACTACTCTCCTGTCTGCTGTTTTGCTCCTGACCTGCCTGCCAGTTACTTATTCAGCTTGCCTGAACCTGCTCTGTATGCTGAACCTGTGCCTGTCATCTGTGCTTATCCACCTACAGCCTGCCAAGTGCCTTCTGTCTGTCTGCCTGTGATCTGACAGCCTGTCATCCATGATCCAGCTTGCATCTGAATTCACACAGATGACTCTTCTGCATCTGTCATTGTGAGAATGGTCAGGCACTTGTGCCACTCCAAGCTCTTGTGGCTTCGGTTACCTCATTAGGAGCACTGAGCCAGAATTGTAAGAGACTCCTACATCTCCACATCCGGCTCCATCATCAGGTACATGACACATTGCTCCCAATTAGACATCCAAGTGTGTGTGGGTCCCTGAACTCACACTGTCTGTGTTTGGGGACCAGATGGATGTCAGATTGGAAGGAGCAGCTGTGTCAATGGGACTGCCTGCATGGGGATGCACAGAACACCTGTGCATCTCTGTGCAGGTAAACATGGCCCTCACACAGGTGTATGCTGTAGTATGCCCATGGTGAACAAGTCCTAAAGCTGTGAATAATAATTCTATAATGATAATAAATGTGTCTATAAAGTCATGCAGCATTACTAGATTTATATGAATGCAGATATTTCTGTAGAACTACATTACATAGCTAGTAATAATGGTTTTCAAGACAGAAAATGTCCATTTCCTCAAGAGTACATTAACCTAAAGTGGTTCTAAATCTTATATATACACCCACTGAAGTGACTAGCTTCAAGTGTTACACAGAGATGAAACAAATACTCCTACCTTTTGTACCTGTTTATTTGTAGCTATTTAACCTTTAGATCGAAAACACAAAGATCAAAGGATTTTTCTCACCTCTAACAGCATAAAGTAGGGATCTGACATCACACACACTGCAGATCTAGAGCCCAAAGTTCCATGATAGCTGAGTGGAGGGAAGGGAAACATTCCTTACAGTCTCAAAATAAAATACAGAGCTGAGGCTATGAGTCACCTGCTGTGTGCTGAAGGGGGGGGCTGTCTCCCTCCATTATGTTGTGTCAGATTAGAGTCTTTTCAGTGTTGAATGCAGATAGTAGAGGGATCAGAGAGGAATCACACTCAGTGCTTTGGATTCAGTCTAGTACACAGCTTTGTTTTTCACGTATTAGGTTTACAACCACTTTAATATAAGATTTTACCTTACTGATATTGCTGTTCTACAGTCCTTCATAGGATATGGATTCTTCTATCCCACCTGGAACCATATCTTATGTACGAGGAACATGCCATATACTGTCTTCTGGAATAAAGTTATTCAAATAGACCATAGGCTAATAGGTGACATTATTAACAATATTCCCCAAATTACATTCTTCTCCATTAACTCAGGTTCCTATAAATTTAGTCAGAGGTCCACTTCATTTGATTGGGATAGGAGAGACTCCCCTCTGTGCCCCAAATGTAACGTACTTGCATGGAGGTGATTTTATACATATGATCTGGCATTGCCCAAAACTTACGTGGTATTGGGTCGAGGTGTTGCACACCATTTCACTGGCTGCCCAAGTTCCCATCCCTAATAATCCGCTATTGTTCTTACTGGTACATTGGATGCTGAAATGTACTAGCCTGGAGTCTATGTTATGGTCACTCGTCTCTTGTATCTGGCTAGAAAACTGATTACGAAGTATTGTATTCTCTCCTTTTACGAGAACAACTAGCCTACCGTCACCATTATGCCTTCGTAAATGTAGCTTGGTTTGGCCCCACCACAATTAATAATGGATAGGCTGCTAAGGATGTGAGTCCTGATGGTCCTTCTTTAAGATGCTCTCATCTATTGAATTGTATGACTCTCTGATTTCACATGCATTTATATTATGGGACCTGTATTACTTGTTAACTCAAAGTGGAGTTCCAGTCAGTTTTGTGTTTATTAAAAGTCAGCAGCTACAAAAACTGTAGCTGCTGACTTTTAATAAACACATACCTGTCCCAGGGTCCAACGATGTGCTAACCTGTGCTGTCCCTTCTCTCCCCGGCGCTGGCATCTCAACTGTGAGCAGTGGGCTATGACAGCTTGCAGCTTCACAGCTGGGTGCCCACTGTGCATGCGCAAGTCACGCTGTGCTTCCTGATAGGTCCAGCAGTCTTCTGGCCCCTAGAAGTGTCCCAGAAGACTGTGGTAGGAAGGAGAGGGGCTGAACTTCCGGCTCACTTCGTGGAGACAAACTGAGTCAGAAGTGGGAGCGGGTACCTGTCAAAACCAGGTACCTGTCAAAACCAGGTATCCACTCCCCCCTCCCCCCAAAAAAGTGCCAAATATGGCAGTGGAGTGGAGGAGGAGACAAACAAGCAGAGCTTCCACTTTTAGAGCAGAGATGCTATCTGCTCTAAATTTGTAGATTTTTGCTTTTTTTTTGGGGTACTTTTGATCTGCTATGATGCTTGTTTTTCCCTGATTTAGGCACTTACAACTGTACAAGGCTAGGTGAACTGTACTGTGTGCACATTGCACTATTTCTTGAGTTGTCCCTTGATATTACTTAAAGAGTTTGGATTAAAAAATAAGGTCCACTTCACCACTCTGATTTTTGTTACACCAGTATATGTCAACATTGGTGCAGAGTGGGCAACCCCAAGCTTTCGAAGTGGGCATGTGACCTGGAAAAGATTATCTTCGGGGACAGAGACACTATTGAAACTTTTATGATCATGTAGTGTGCTTGAGTTAATTTTAGACAAGCGCTTCCTAACCTGGGT